CAGAACCGATTCTGATTAAGCGCAGAAGGAACGTTAGTCGACTCGTCGGACCTGTCTGCCTGATTGTCTGTCTGGCTAGCCAGACGACTACCGCAACCGCAGAAGAAAAAAAATGAGATACAGGTCTAACAAATACGGCGTTGGTGCCCGTGCATTGTTGCAATGCTACGGCGTAAGCAGAATTACGTGCAATTGTTCTCTGCAGCTCGGCTTGTTCGTGTACATAAATACGAGATGTGACTTCAACGTACTGCTGCGCTAAGTAAACAAAGACACGTTAACTGCATTTCGGATGAGCAATGCCAACCGACTGACTGACTGACTCTCTGTTTACCCACTTCTGCAAATAAATGCTGCTTACTTGCAGGCGCACTGTGCTATGAATGCTTACGATTTAGGCTTTAAAATTGAATTTTAAATAATCACACCAATAATAATAATATTATATGACGCACATGAATCGCAATGAACCATCATAATATCGATTGGAATACAAGCAAATTGAACCCATTTACAAACTGTGTATAAGCATATAAATTTGTAAATATATATGGATTGATAATAGACGGACAGTATTATTCTAGATCAATGCGTGTCATATATTACATAATAAATAATTCAGTTTTACTGGTGCAGTTGTCGATCGAGCTTACTTGATTAGTTTAGCTTTACAGTAAATACACATCGCATAACCATATCCTCAGTTGATGTTTCGTGGCGACCGTAAAATCCATGTAACTGAATGCGGTAATCTCCAGAAAACACAAATGCGGGTATTAGACCATCATTCAATGTCCAACCATGCAGGTAATAATAGCCGGGATTCACTGGACATTTAGCCGAAAAGTTTCCATTCTGAAGCATACTACCCAACCACTTCTGGTAAAGATTTTTACGAAGGGACATAATCACGCTGCACACATCCAACGTGGTCTTAAAAACACTATTGAACTCGTTAAACTTTTTCAGACGAAGCTCAATGTCTATATAAAACCTAATTCCTAACGTTATTTTCCTTCTGACACCCATTTCAGCATAAATGCTGTTCTCAACGATCGTTAGATTAAAGATATTGAAGTGTTTCGGATTATATCGACATTTATCACAATGCAATTCCATGCTTGTCTGGAAGAAGATGATTTTATAAAACGGGAACATATATGTATGTATACTTACAGCAACAATTTCACGAAGCCCGACTGAAAATAGCAATACTATTATTATAGTTTTATTCATTTTTCCAGTACCCATTTTTGGTAATCGAAGCTGCTACGAACTCCGACACACTGTGAGACATGTTATATAAGGTATAAGATAGAGGTCTCACTGCCTTTTTTTTTAAATAAGTACTCTGTTGCCTATCTGTAATTTAAATTCAATCACGTTTCACCTCATATACTGCCAAATGACTGATCTTAATAGCAATTGTATTTAAATGGACAGTGACGTTAAAATTGTGTTTATCTCATCGATATATCAGGTTGTTCATTTCGAGCTAGGCCTCTTCGGAACAAATTATAGCCTGAGGGGTGGCAATCATCTGAGCAACTCAAGTTACATTTCTTATTTATTATTTATTTTATCACTGCAATTATTGCCACAAATCCTCAAATGCAAAATAGAGGAGCCACAGCACTGTACCAAATTAATCCTTCTCACCTATGCTTTATTTCGTACTCTGTTAATGTTAATGAGCAACATATTCAAGATTGTAAGATTTATTTGTAAGTTCTACAGTTATGGTTTATTTATCTCTACTTTTCTTGATTCCAAAATGATGAGGATTGTTCAATGTTAAGCTCTTATATTTAAAATAACACAATCATCGAGAGCTAATTATTGATCAATTAAATAGCTGACATACAATAATAAAGATGGATAACAAATATTTAGACTGACTGCCAAATCACTAATGTAACATTTTATATATTTTGACTGTATTTATTTCCAAAATCAGCATCAGCATAAATAGCCAGAGCACACATAGAACATAACATATCAATTTTGCTTCAATTTTATCATTCAAAGTTTATACTTTAAAATACAGCAAGAATTGGTTCGTACAATTTTTCGATTATGAACATTTTCCAAAGGACTTTTCTGTTTGGCCTTTTAGTATGTGTAATGTAAATCGAAAATAAAAAATGTTTAATTTAAAAAAAAATCATGTGCACTTTTTGTCGGCGTTCAGGGATATTTAACTGCGTTAATAAACCTTTGAAGTCTTTGGCGACATCAAACCATTTGCTCTTAAAAAATATAATTTCACTCAACTATTTGGTGAATAGTATTTTTTATTTATGAAAGAGCAGGAATATATATATTTTGAAAATAATTGTTTTGGAAATTCATTACTATTTAAGTACATATGATTTAAATGTATCTTTTTTTGTCGCTTGCTGGTGTTTATCCTAATAATAATAATATATATTTATAATTTATTGAATATTTAATGACAGCTCGGCTATAATTGTATATATTCTCGTTACAGATAGAAATTGTATCTAGTGCTATTATTGAAGCCTTTCAAACGAGACATTTATTGTGCAATAAATATTTGAATTGAATAAATCAGCAGCGCACACAAAAAAAAAAAACTAATTCTATTTAGAGAATTCATTCCATGTTTAAAGTTTACAAATACATCTTTAAATGGATCCATTTCAAGTGCTGATACTTGTTTTAGGATTGATTCCCTGTGCAAATATGGTGAGTATAGGAATAACGACAAATAATTGAATAATTTATAATATTGTCGAATAACAAACATTTATTTTAGATTTCAACTTTTAGCTTCACAAAATCTCCTACCTGTGTTGAGTTAAATCGGAACTACTTCAGAAATTTTTCCGTTACTCTTAAAAATAGTAAACTGAGCTTAGATGTGGACTTAATAACCCCGTTATCCCAGGAAATAAACCTAAATCTCGACTTCCAAAAAGGAAACCTGAATTCGCAATCCTATCAGAGTATTTATAAAATTTCTTTGGACATTTGTCGTCTTATACAATCTCGAAATAACAGCATATTCAAGAAGTGGTTATTAACAATTTACAAATCTGGAAATTTACCTAGGAAATGCCCTGTTCAACCAAATCACTACCATATAAGAAACCTTTCACTTTCTAATCTAAATGTTCCTCCATTTTTGTTTGATGGTATTTTTCGAGTACTATTTGATTTGATTTATATTAAAGATAATGCCAAAATTACTGATTTTATGTGTAAGTGTGTGGTGGAAGTCGAACTTAAATAAATATTTAACAAAAACAAAATCTCATGCTCTAGGCGATTGAAAAATCGTTTTTTCTTTTCATTTTTCTTTGTTTGTTTAAAACTAATTATTGTTTATTTTCTATTGAATATGAATAATCAAGGAAACTATCATATTGCCATAGAACAGCTGCACAGTTGAACACTTAGAACAGCTGCACAGTTGAACACTTATCTGATAATTTTCTCTATAAATGCTATATTATTATTATCTAAATTTATGATTGTAGAAATATTTTGTTGGTAATTACTTACTCAAATCTACAAAAATAGAGCAGCAACGCATGAGCAAATATTGTTTATTGTATTTTTTCTATTTTCAAAGTTCTAAAAACAGCGACAAATGAAGCCATCTCAATAATATTCTATAAACTCCAAAATGATTTTAGATGTCCACATTTATCGTTTTAAAATCCTCAACCTGTGACGATTTTAATCGGAAATACTTTAGAAGATTACCTGTCGTTTCAAGCCAAGCCACCAATTTGATTGGTAGTTTTTTGACAATATCCTTCAACGATCGGATTTTAGAGTTAGAGACAAAACATTTACAATGTGTTGCGTGCTTAATGGTTAGAGCCATACAATTTGGGAGGTATATTACCGGTAACCGCCTCAAAGTATCGATAAGCAAATTTTACGGCTACGCCAACACCATATAGTCACCACACTTAGAAGATAGTTTGCTGGTAACCTTCTTCATAGATTATCACAGCTGTAAGCTGGAGTCATTTTGAAAGTATATTACTGGCAGCTCCCTTAAAAGATCGATAAAAAAAATTGGATGGTCACGCCCACGACGCCTCTCAAAACCGATGTACCATATGGTATAAATCGATAAAATCATATATCTCACACAATTTTAAAGCTAGTCTTAAAATTTGAGAACGGTAAAAGCCTAATCTCCTGCCACACCCACCACAAAATTTTCGAAGCTAAATTGCCCAAAAATGGAAGGCCAATCACTAAGAACTCCAATATTCTCAAGAGCCTCTATCTCTAGCAACTTCAGAACTAATGCTACCAAACTTGGAACGTAGATTACTAAGAACCTTCTCTAAAATTTGTTCGCCCCCGCCTACTTCTGCTCCAAAAATTCCCAAAAACCAATATCATCCGCAATTTTAGAGATAGAAAACTCTTCCAACATTTTTTTCTGGTATTACTTATTGGTATCAGAGTATTTCGAAATCGGTTGGGCCCAAAGATACGTTCTCACTAGTTTTCCCCGTTCCTCTGGTAAGTTATTTAAATTTCAAGTTCTTCTAAATTGATTCAAAATCTTATGAAGAGTCAATAATGAGCAGAAACTAGTATCAGTTAAATATTTTGCACTCATAAACATGTAATTAACACAATTTTTGGGGTAACTTATACAATATTTATCATTATATTAAATTTTTGTGCAAACAGTTAAACTTGTCAACTGAATGAAAATATTAAACGCCACATTTTCCAGAGCTAGCAATTAGTCACATCTCCTACCATACCATCTCCTACCATACCGATTAAATAATGAACAAATGTGGTATTCGTTGACATTACTTTAAAATTCATATTTTATGCTTCAAAGTAAGTTAGCTTCATTTAAGATAAAACATTTGTAATTATACATTTGGTATTCATATATTACATTTTGCGAAACTCAATTAAAATTAACTTAGCTGCTAATATTAATATTGAACAAATCTAAACTATTCAAATGACATTTGGACATTGTCGTTAGTATGGAAATGTTCACATATTCTGTTTACGGCTTTCAAATCCTTCTTTTACTCTGGGTCCGCAAGCTATCAGATGTAGAATCCGTGAGTTTTTTCTATTAATACACAGAAATCGAATTGCTTATTTTTATTTAATAAAGTCTAGACTTGTAATCCACTCTGGCAAGTATAAGCATAATCCAAATTACTTCCACAACTTCACCTTGAACATTATCAACAATACGGTCAATTTGGATATGGCCACCAAAAAGCCATTTGGCCATGGTTTCAATGTACACGTCGACTTCGCCATCAATTTGGTCAAAACAAACAATTACCAACGTGTCTTTGCCCATACAATGGACACTTGCTCTGTTGTGTCTACGGTGAAAAAGAATATATTTAAGGCCTGGTTCCAGTCAATGTTGGATCATGGGAACTTCTTGTATAAATGCCCAGTTGCTGAGGGACATTATTACCTGCGCAACTGGAAGCTGGATCCAAATTTAGTGCCTCAATATCTGCATGCGGGCAATTACCGTGTGACTGGGTACTTCTATTATGGCAAATTCAAGACAAGGCAGGAAGAATTTGTGTTGGAAATGACAATTTTTGCAATATTGAAATCGAGTTAATGTTTTCTACTTATATTCAATGGAAAAAATATAAAATAAAAACATTAATGGTATTAATTCTGATTGGCATATACAATTAATATGTCTTAGTACTACATCACTACGTCCTGCTCCAACATGAATATCAATAAAAACCAAAAAAAAAAATCTAGTCATTGGTCAATGACAAAAAAAATTTATATGAAGATAAAAGAAAAAATAAATGTTTTATCTCAGTTATATTTTACCAATTAAAAAAATTATACAAAATTGTCTTCTGCTTGAATAGACACCATATTTTAGGCAGGTATTAAACATATTGTATTCACTGAATTTATTCAATATTTAAACTTCAAAAACTCAGCAACAGATGAATTCACTTCGAGTGCTTTTACTTGCTTTAGGCTTTATTCCGTTTGTGAATATGGTAAATATTGGAACCTATAACTATATAAATAGTTAATAATAATATAGAGTAACAAAATGATTATTTAGATGTTAACATTTAACTTCTTAAATTCATCTACCTGTGACAACGTTAATCGGAACTACTTAAAGAACCTCACTTGGAATTTTACCAATAGTAAAATGAATTTGGAGGTGGACTTAATCACGACTTTGGTCCCGGGAACAAAACTAAATATCGAGTTCTTTAAGACAAATTTGAATACAAAATCCCATCAAAGTTTTTATAATTACTCTTTCGACTTATGCCGAATCGGGAAACTTCTGGAAACTGATAAGAGCAACATGGCTATAAGGTGGGTCTCAACATTTTTCAATTATGGAAATTTTCCGAAGGTCTGTCCTGTTCTACCAATGCATTACTACCTACGCAACTACAAAATGTCTGTTAATGTTCCTTCATTTATGCTTCCCGGTGCTTATCGCGTCATAGTAATTATGCTTCAAAGTAAACGTAATGGTAAGATAATTGATATCCTAATAAGATTTGTATTGGGCATCGAAATTAAATAAATATTTAACAAAGAACGCAAAATAGTTAGGCGATTCAAAAATCATGTTATCTTACTTCGGTGCTCTGGAATATATAAATAAATTAATAAAACTTTGAAATCTTCAACAAGTTGGCTACTCTTTACTCTTATAAAATCTCTCAACAATTTGCCGAATAGTATTTTTTATTAGACAAACAAAATAAATTGCTTTTGGCCTAAATGACTAGAACAGACAGATGAAATAGTTGAACAGTTGCGGTAATTTTCGTCGATAAATGCGTTGTTGTTAGTATCATAATTGACGAATGTTTAAATAATTTTTTGGTAATTATTTGCTCAAATAATCAAAACCCGACATCGACCAAATTTTGTTTTGTTTTAAAATTGGTTTGAGTTTGAAATGCTAGAAACATCTACAAGCTGCTCTAAACTGCATTCTGTTGTATCCGTATGTGAAAATGATAAGAACAGGAAAATCATAATATCGCACTACATTTATGTACATGAGGGAACACGAATGATATTTAGCCCGTTCATGGCACATAACACATTTACAAATTTTTAAAAGAATTGCGCTGTTTAAGAAATTAAATTTAAGTAGGTATGATCTGAATGTAATATCGGTTTTGTTTGCAAGTTAAGTTTAAGCTGTGTAGATATTTTGTACTTCAAAGCTAGTTAACTTGATTTAAAATAAAATGATATTATAATTATACACTTAGTATTCGTATAATACATTTTGCGAAACTCAATTAAAATTAACTTAGCTGCTAATATTAATATTGAACAAATCTAAACTATTCAAATGACATTTGGACATTGTCGTTAGTATGGAAATGTTCACATATTCTGTTTACGGCTTTCAAATCCTTCTTTTACTCTGGGTCCGCAAGCTATCAGATGTAGAATCCGTGAGTTTTTCTATTAATACACAGAAATCGAATTGCTTATTTTTATTTAATAAAGTCTAGACTTGTAATCCACTCTGGCAAGTATAAGCATAATCCAAATTACTTCCACAACTTCACCTTGAACATTATCAACAATACGGTCAATTTGGATATGGCCACCAAAAAGCCATTTGGCCATGGTTTCAATGTACACGTCGACTTCGCCATCAATTTGGTCAAAACAAACAATTACCAACGTGTCTTTGCCCATACAATGGACACTTGCTCTGTTGTGTCTACGGTGAAAAAGAATATATTTAAGGCCTGGTTCCAGTCAATGTTGGATCATGGGAACTTCTTGTATAAATGCCCAGTTGCTGAGGGACATTATTACCTGCGCAACTGGAAGCTGGATCCAAATTTAGTGCCTCAATATCTGCATGCGGGCAATTACCGTGTGACTGGGTACTTCTATTATGGCAAATTCAAGACAAGGCAGGAAGAATTTGTGTTGGAAATGACAATTTTTGCATTTGAAATCGAGTTAATGTTTTCTACTTATATTCAATGGAAAAAATATAAAATAAAAACATTAATGGTATTAATTCTGATTGGCATATACAATACACTTAATATGTCTTAGTACTACGTCACTATTGGCCTGCTCCAACATGAATATCAATAAAAACCAAAAAAAAAAAAAAAAAAAACTAGTCATTGGTCAATGAAAAAAAAATGTACGTGAAAAAAAAAATAAAAAATAAATGTTTTATCTCAGTTATATTTTATCAATTAAAAAAATTATACAAAATTGTCTTCTGCTTGAATAGACACCATATTTTAGGCAGGTATTAAACATATTGTATTCACTGAATTTATTCAATATTTAAACTTCAAAAACTCAGCAACAGATGAATTCACTTCGAGTGCTTTTACTTGCTTTAGGCTTTATTCCGTTTGTGAATATGGTAAATATAGGAATAACGATAACTAATATAATTCGTAATAATTTTGAATGGAAAAATCATATTTTAGATGGCCTCACTCCGCTTTTTAAAATCTCCTAATTGTGACAATAATAATCAGAAATATGTAAGGAACTTCTCTGCTGCTTTTCATAGTAGCAAATTGAGGGTAGACGTGGACTTAATCACCGCATTGTACCCGCCAGTGAACTTAAACTTTGAGTTTTTAAAAGTAAACTCGAAGACGGGATCTTATGAAAGTTTTTATAAATACTATGTGGATTTATGTCATATAGCAAAACTTCGGAACACCCATTTGTTCAAGGCGTGGTTCTCGATATTTTATAACAATGGAAATTTTCCAAGGAATTGTCCTTTTCATTCAAATCATTACTATCTAACCGACTTTCCAATGTCTGAGATCCGTGCCCCTGCATTTGTGTTTAATGGTATTTATCGCATAATATTTAATATGAGTCAAAGTAAAGACAAGGGTAAAAAAAACGATTTTGTATCTGAATGTGTGTTTGATGTCGAACTTAAATAAAAAAGGAAAGCGTTTAAAGTATATAAAGAAAATATTTTTGTATTAGTTCTAAAGCAAGAAGCTCGCTTGGTTGCATATGGAAATTCGATTAAAGTCACCTGATTTATTTCATTATAAACTTTAAAATAAAATTAAAAAATTCGATATGCTATCGATTCAACATGGCTTTAGAACTCAGATAGTGGGGCTTTAGACCATTCCTTAGCGACAGCCTTCGTAGCTGTTCTACTGTCTCAAACTGTCGATTACCAACTTATACTATAGAGCTTAAAACGCTTATCACGAAACCACCTACGACATGCTCGCGGCACATGTTTTGGAGCATTATCCTGCTGGAATAAGGCATTTGGGTCTGTTCGATGATCCATAAAGTTCACTAAAACTTCGTCCAACAAGTTTATATATCCAGTCGATCTCATACTCCTGAAATTTTACAAATCAAGTTTTCTTTCAATTTTTACACATTATCAATATATATACGTTATTATCATATATTCCAAAGGCTTGAAATAATAATATTAATAACGACTTTAAAACCAGTCTGATATTCTGTTGAAAAATAATGATGGAAATATTAATGTGGGATAGACCTAGGCATAATATACTAGGCATGATATACCATTGAGCTTGCAGCAAGACTTGAACCAACATGAATGGACATATATTCATTCAAAAACATAACAAAAGAATACTACTTCGAAAATTACTTACATTAACGATCGGACCTTATCGATTTTACTAATTTCTATGACTGGGTACGTATTTATAATGAGCTGCAGATGAGCGCTGATGACGCGATTACCATTTAATAGCTAAAACGTGTAGATGACTAAAGAGTCGCTTGATTGATTTTGTGGTGACTTAAATAGTTAATGAGTGCATAAATTGATCTATTTTCAATTTTATATCATTGGCAATTTGTCGCTGTACATGTCAAAATGATCCAGTTGCGCATTTTCTGCTGGTCAGCCTTATTTGCAATTAAATTGCTGCTAATTCTGAATGTTTACCCAAGTCAAGCAGTAAGTTTTGTCATCAATTGTAAGACCATTTTGAAAAATTTGATCCTTTCACAGGAACGATATGTGGAGTTTAAGAATGCCAGTTCTACGTTCAATCCGAAATATTTCAAGAATTTTACAATCTACGTTATAAATCAAACGCTCAACTTGGATATGGATGTGAAACTACCAATTCAGAGGGGGTTTAAAGTCCATGTCGACTATCAACTGCGCGTGGCCAATGCGAAAAACTTTCAAACGCTCTTCAGCCACAACATCGACTTATGCGCCACAGTTAGTAATGTTAAGGAAGGTTTGCTCAAGAGCTGGTTCAAGAGCATGACAAAACACGGCAACTTCATGCACAATTGTCCCGTGGAGGTGGGACATTATTATTTGCACAATTGGAAAATGGGCACGACGATGACGCATCAGTTTCTATATCCTGGAGAGTATCGTGGCCGGGCCGATTTTTTTTATGGCAAGTACAAGACCAAAACAGAAGAGCGAACGCTCTCCTTTATTCTGGAAGCAGTTCTGCACAGCTAAACCAGAGCGTCTATGGGTGGTAATTTCTCAATCAGAGTGCGCCTCTATGAACATTAATAAAGCTATAGATCTGCAGTAGCTGCAGCTCAAGCGTAATCGATGCGTTTATGTTGACACTCTCTGCTATCGTCACCTTGCAGCTAGTACATGTACATACATATACTTATTACGGGTAGTACTTTATTATTTTTTTACCCAAGCATCGCTGCTGCAGTCAGCAGTCTCATGAGAAATAATAATATCCTGTACAAGGCTGCAACATGTGGCACGCTACGCCATTGATTATCGCTTGCCGTCAAGCGGGCGAAAGAAGCAACAGAAAATAAAATAAAAAAAAAGAAATCGAAAAGGAACATTCAATTTAGCTACAATGTCCTCGATGCCATCATCGTCTGTGTCTTCCACACTTGGCAGCTGTCGCCTGCAGTAAAAGGAGCTGCTGCTAACGGTTCCTTTAAATGTATTTGACTTGTCGTCAGTGCTTCCGCCTCGTCTCAATTGCGTGTGTAATTTTAACTTTATCGCTTCCTAATTGCCGCCCCACCTGCACTTGTCTCTCGCCTTGGCCCAGCGGTAGTTCCGGCCAAGGACCTGGCATAATTTTCGCACATTTTTCCAGCAATTTGCCTTGGGCTCTGTATGCGTGTGTGGACTCTCTCCAATTTGCTCTGATTCCCGCTGGTATAATTACAGCATGTATAGTACTGATGACTTCTTCTTATCGTGCCTGCGGCCATATCAGCTGCCCGTTCGACTCTGCTGCTAATGAGTGAAAGTCAGGTAAGCTTTGTTTAATTAGTTCGAATGCCTGTTGCGATAACTAATTGAACTGCCAGTTCGGGAGGCATATTTCAAAATATGCTTAGTGTTTAATTTGATACAATACTCAAAAGACACATCCGCAAGTTTGGTGACTCTACCTATGGAATTGTGAGAGATATGTGATTACATCATTTTGCATTACCTTATCAAAATTCATATAATTTTTTAAGAGACATGGTTTTTTTATGGCCTAACCTCTATATAAATTTAAAATATAAGTAATTTCTTAAAGTCAATAGCAAAAATAATTGTATTTTAATTTTTTTAAAAGAATTTTAGAAAATAGTTGAAGAAGTACTTGATCTGAAAAGAACTAATATGAATGAGTCTACACTTCCCACTATTTAGTTTTTGATCGAAAAAAAAGAACAAAGTAAAATCGTTTCTCATTGTAAATCAATTTCACGCCAAACAAACGGTAAACGTTATTTAACACACAGCACGACAACTACGAGTATAATGATGGCAATTTCCGTGAGTACATTTTGCCACTCCCACGATTATTTGTCTCACAGATGCCCCCGAAAACTCGGCAAATGCATTGGGTCGCCGTCTGCTCCGCGCGAAGCTGCTGGTTCTTTTAGATGTTCGTCGATGGCGACAAAATACAAGAAATTGCGCTTTGATTTTGCCTTGATTCCAGCGGATGTGCAATGATAGCAAAAGGAAAATAGGAGGAGGAAACAGAAACAAGAAACAAGCTAAGGAAAGGAGAGGAGTGCAGAGAGGGAATGGGAAAGGGTGGTCTGAAGACATTGCGTACTCAGCGAGCGAGTGCGAACGTGTCGAGTCGTGAGCCGGGCAAACTTGTCGAGTTGTCGAGTCGAGGGAAAATACTTTGGGCCAACTGTTATTGTCAGTGTTTAAATTATTTTGCGCTTAGTTTGCCACTCGCATAAATCGCAGCCAAACACAACCAGAAGCAGTGGCAATTCCAATTGCAGCACTTGTGCGCCATTCAATTGCGTGTCCATGTTCTTGTCCATGTCCATGTCGATGTCTGTGTTCGTGTCCGTGTCCGTGTCCGTGTCCATGTCGGTGTCGGAGTCCGAGTCCACTGAGATGTCTGTCCCATCTTCCTTGTCCAGTTGCAAAAGTGCAAGAGTGTCGCGTGCGGCACAAATTCAACCCAAGCCAGGTCGAGGCTCATTAATTTATTTATGCGAAGTGCACGTGCAACGATTTGCTCAACTGGAAGTGAGAAATTGTGTTAGCGATCTGATTTGAGGCGATAGCTGTGGGCTATAACTGATTCATGGCCTTTAAATGTGACAAATTAGGCAGACAATAGATATATGCATATCATACATGCATTGCGTTCACTTCATTTTAATGTCCAGAAACATTGAGGTATTTGTCACCATATCGTTATTCCACTCTCTCATATAAAATAAAGCATCAATACGAAAGTGTCCCGTAGTTATAAAAGACGGAATGCTGTCCTTATCGGCTCGCAGGTTAATCCAATAATAGTTGCCCTGTAGAAACATAATTGGACATCATTTTATTATATTTTTTACTTTTACACATACCTTTTTAATAGGACAACTATCAGGTATATTTGAATACTTGAGGATGTTGTGCATCCATCTTTGGATTAAGTTGACAGGCTTTCCGAAGTAGCTGAAACTGCACAAGTTCACATCATAGGCAAACATGCTTCGATAAACATTCTTCGCCTCCCTTTGAGAAACGCCCAACTTTAACCAGACATTATCTGTTAGATCTTTAATAATATTCAGCGACATATTACTGGCCATTTGATCTGGACTAATGTATACCTCATAACTTGAGGCATACTTGTGTCCAAACTTGGTAAAAACCCTGCGAAAGACCATCGATGTGAAGGTCTGCTGGGCAATTTATAATATATAGTAAAATCAGTTTGTAGATCTCTCAAAGATGATTTACCTTTCGTCCATCTATTGGCTGTGTTGCATTTGATACCAAAAACATAATAAGAATAATGCTAGCTTCCCGACACATTTTCAGCTGTAAGAAAGAGAGAAAGAGATCTGTCTTGTTTAGCTGGTAAATCATTACTCGCTCATTTGTTTGTTAACCAGCTTGATATCAATTCAATAAAGTTCAGCCAACTGGATGATTACATATTAATATGATGCATGCGTAGATCATTAGTCTACCAACTGCACAAATGCGATTGATTGGTTGTCAATACGCAATCATTAACAAGAATTGTCCACTAGGGTGTAAATAATAAACTGGTCACCTTCGATCTATTTTTGAATAAAGCTTCTATTATTATATATATATTTGGCAATATTATTATATATATTATATATTATTATAAATATATTTGGCAATTAACAAACAAAGTCATACATACATATAGAAAGACATCAAGCGATCAATCGGTCACAAATTGAGCTATTATATGAAAATCGGGGTTACTTGACCACAGTGTAATTATCACCACTCCAATTATTATATAAAAAAAATGTGTGTGAAAATTGTAATCAGATAAAGAGCCAGACAGAAAAACACGATCGACTCATTTGTAAATGCGGATCATGGATAAAAATAATGTTATATTTCTAGAGATCTAAGAATCCTCCCTCTGCCTCCTCTCATGGAATATCTAGTTTAACTATTTCAGTTTTATAGTCATGTCGCTTCGCTCTTTATAGGTAAGCACCTATCAGCGTAATTAAATTGCTCGGCCAAAGTTGAATCAAGCAGTTTGTGCACTCCAGCCGCAATTTGTTAAGGACGGCCGCTGGAAATATGATAAATTGCCGCTCTTACAGGCGGCTGCAGCAGCCGGACAATGGGGACAACTGGGATAGTCGGACAGAAGCCGCAGTCAGGCAGCATTTGCCGGCACATAAATTCAAAAAAGGAGAGCCACTATTGCTGCTAACCAAATCTTAATTATAAATCTAAGGAAGCACTTGGAAAAAATTACCGCAAGCGCAGTGAGCCGTCCGGCGTCCCAGTTACACGAGGGAAGCACCGAAAAAAAAAGGAAAAGAAAAGAACAGAATGAAGAAGCGAACACAAAATGAAATGATGATTTAATAGAATGGTCTGCGGGCACCGCCAGCTGGTTGGCTGAGCCGAATGAATGGGCAAGACGAGCCAGCGGAAATGACTCCATAAGCTGCTGCAACCATAAACCGGAAGTTAACAGACTTTTGCTGATGTGGCACTTTTCGTACAGGACGAGAGCTGGAACTGTGCAACTTCAGGACGGGGCAGACACGGAGACGGACACGGACACGCTCGGCGGGCCGTCTGCGAAATTGTGACAGCGCATGGCCGCAGGATAATCAAATAATTTTTTTTCCTCCTCATCGTCTTTGCTGCTTTTCACACAATTGCAGGCATCGTGTTCTTTCTTTTCCTTTTTTTTTTGCGGTTTCGTCCTGGTTGCTCCCGCTGCGCGGCTCTGGCTGGCTCTCGTTAAATTATTGTGCAACATTGCCACAAAATGCTAATTGCCGTACGATACGATCGAGACATTGCAAAGTCCAAAAACTTTTTCAAATTGCAGCTGTCAATGAATTTTGCTTGGTTTTGACAGTTTCATTTTCTACTTCGCTCCGATTTGCCTTTCCTTCTTATCGCAATGTGTCAAACTATGCTAAATTCCATTTACACTGTATTCTGTTAATAAATCATACAAATTGTGAATCACGAAACTTTTCCTCAATAGGTAAAGTTCTGCTCATGATTAAATATGGTATCTCGCAACCGAATAATGTATTCTCACACATATATTTATGGCCATTTTATTTCATGCATTGCTCATGTAATTTTACGGCTATTAAAAATGTTCACGCCATTTTCGTGGCGAATAAATGTCCAATTGTTTGCTCCATTTTATTTGTAATTTTTACGCTCGAAATACTTGCAATGCAATAATGCATATGAAGTAATTATTGTGGACTTTTTAAAGTGTTAAATTGAAATATAAGTTAAGCATGCTTCACTAAATGTAAATGTAAAAAATAGGGTGTTGAAAGCAGCGCAAATATATTTAAAAAAAAAACACTAGTCATCTATGAATTCCATGCAGTGTACATAGTTATTGTATTAAAATATCCAACTGGTACTAGTCAGATCCAATATTTTTTAGGAAATATATTTCCGTGCAGATATTTCCAAAACCATTTCATATTATTATTAATAGATTCATCAGGTTTTTTTTACAATAAAAGCGGCAGATTATTTGCAGCAGGCCACCAGTGATGAAATACTGTAAGATAAGACTGTAAGATAACATCTGTAACATAACACTATGTACGTAACATATGATATCGATATAGATCGATATCAAAGGTGTGACCAGCTTGAAGAGGAAGAGCTCAATGATTGTGAATAAAGAAATGAGGGCAGACTTGTTAGAAAGGAATATAATTTAGTTTTGACTGCTACATGTTTCTACATTTAAACTACACATTTAAAATGTTGGAAATTTTGTCATAATTATATCATTATTATATTTATATTAACCATAATTAGAAAAACCTTTGACAATTTTACCGTTGTCTTTAAGAATAATTTAAGTTGAGGGATGCTTTTAAAGAAATTACATCATATTAGCTTGTTCGTAAGTAAAAAAAATCTGACAATTTAACAACTTGAAAAATAACTCTCTCGATGCCGTTTCATGCACATTTCTTGTCACCAACTGCCGCTGAGCAAGTTAATGAGGAACAACAGCAACATGGTCTTTGGCGTTGGGTCTGAGGAAAAGTTTTTTGCTCAAGTGGCGTTTTTCCATTTTACCACATACTACAGGCGACGCATTTCAACTCGAAGGCGGCAGCTGCTGTTGGAATAATGACGATGATTTCGTTGATTTGAATTGTGATTAAAATGCAGTGTATAATTTTTTGGCACGACCGACTTGGCAGTCTCAAGACTCAGGCGGTATGTGAGGCGCCCCAAGAAGTTTTTTGATTCGTTTCACACTTTGTCTGACTGTGCTGAAATGCTGAAATGTGGTACCACATCGGAGAACGAGGCGGTCGAGGAGCGTGGCATGGCAGGGGAGCTCGAAGAAAAATTGCAAAACCGCAACTCGTGTCGACTTGCCGCTCCAGCTCGACTTGATGTTAGAATAATGAAGAGGCAAAACTTTTGCGCAAGGCATGTAATTTTTCGATGTGACAGCCGGCCTGCGCTGCCTGCAGTAGCCCATTCCCCTCCCACCAGTCTGCTTCCCCTGCCAACGCACCGGAAACCGTAGTTGTCATTCGTTTTGTGCATTTGTTACAAAGTTACAGCCGAAATAAAAAAATAAAAAATAGAAAAACACATGAAACGAAAAACGAAACAAACCCACAACTGTGTAAAAACTTCTGTTGTACAAGATCTAAAGCGACTGCACTCCTTTTATTCCCTACTTTTACTTACTGCCAGTTAGGCCTAACACTTGCAACTGCGACCAGTTAGTTTAGTCTGTACACTCAGCAAACAAAAGCGTCTTGTAACTTGGCAATAGACTGGCAGAAAAACCAATTTGTATTATTATCATTTTTTATTTTGTTTATAACCCAATTTACTAATTATGCAAAAATATACTTAATCCACAACTCTAAATAAATTATATTTCTTTTTTACTTTTGTAATATGTTACGTAAATATAAAATATTCAATAGAGGGTTGCAAAATACAAACCTGCAATTAAAATTCTTGTCTACTTTTTTAAATTTATGAATTTATGTAGAACTAGCCACTATCGTAGTACTAAGATCACAGCATCTGTAACATAACATGCAACTATATACTTAACATATATCGATATTAATCGATATCAAAGATGTGATAACCAGCTTGACGAGGAAGAGCTGAATCGTCGTGAATAAAGTAGAGTGAGAGATATCATTTAGTTTTGACTGCTCTCTCTCTCTCTCAGAATGTGAAGCAAGCTGCACTTTCCACACATATATTTTGCATACATCTAAAACATACACTGGAATTTGTATCAAGCTGGATTTTCCAGTGTCTATTTTGCATTTTTTTTTCGCAAGTGTAGTCAACAGTCCAGTACGCCCTGCCATCAGCGCATATAAATCACGGCGACCCAGCGTAGGCCGCGTTATAAATGCGAACAATGACACAATTGATTGGCCAATTACGTGCGCTTCAGGGTGATTATGACGTTACGTACCGTTAGCCGCCAGACCCACTCGTTTGGCGTTGTCCTGCGTCCGCATGTGAAGCTGGGGCCGTGGAGAAAGAAGGCTGCATGACGCTGCCCATTGGGGGTGGACCAGACGGCGTGTGCATGTCATGCCTGGCTAAATTTACACAATTAAATGCGTGAAATTCGTTTCAATAATTGAGCAATTTTTCTGCACAATGAGAGGGCAACACTTTTTTGTTTGCCAATATTGTAAGCAAGCTGTTTTCTTTAAAGCTAAATTAAAGGGAAAATATATTAAATGGAATTGACAAAGCTATCGGTGAATTGAGATATCATATCTGCATCATCAGCTCGTCATAAGCATAAATCACAATTAAGCACACACACACTGATGACATCCCGAAACCATTCAACAAATTTTGCTTTTGGAAAAAAAGGGCGCTAAGGACTCTGAAGCCATAAAATATGCATACCCTTTGCGTCCATAATGTGCCAGCTAACAATATAAGAGTTGCGTTAAAGTTCAGTTAACGGGGCGCACAACAAATAAAAAAAAATGAGAAACTCGTCCAACTTTATGGGCAGTGGTTAAGGCTGAGGCAAAGCCACAGCTAATTTATTTGCAGGCTCGCGACCATCTATGCGATTCGAGCAGAACGACATCGCCCTCCTCAGTGGCCGGTACTTCATTGCGCAGTGGCTCGTTTAAAACGCTGATTCAGTTTCATCATTAACCAGATTAATATAGCCCGACGCTGCCAACTGACAGGCGCAATATGGCAGCCCAAGGACCAAAGGACCCAAGCCGCATCCGCAACCCGTTCTCGAAATGGTAATCGATTGTCCATGCTGGGTATATGTTCTAGTCATA